AATTAATTTAGAAGGGTGATTTTTTAGTTCTTGAATGCTTTCTATCAAGCCTAGCTAAAATATTACACATACTCCAAATCAGAGGTTGTGTACCCAAAGTTGGTGACTGTTTTCTACTAAAACCTAGGCTTTGAAAAAGGGGTCATAAATTCTGAGGTATGTAAAATTCCCATGTCTTTTTCCATAGAGGATTTTGGTGGGAATTGTAGGTTTATACTCTAGTGAAACTTTCTACTCTTTTGATTCACAAATTGATTTGAATGACTTCAACATCCACCCTAACACAAAATATCTTCTTCCTGATCCTGCGGTAGGTCATAAAGTCTCTCTTACAATTGGATCTATGACAATGACTTGTCGTCTCATTTTATATGTGATTACTCATGTGCTTATATCCCAAGGAAACTCAACCACCGTCAATTGCTAAGAACAAATGTAATTGTTACTTGGCTCCTAGCAAACAACATCCACACTAACAGGCAAGTGGGCACTACTATAAATAACGTTTCTAACGTCGGACGCGAAAAATGTTGTATCTCGACAATAGAAGAGAGGTAAATAAGATCGTCGTAAAAAATCTCTACTTAAAACCTCAGTTTTTCAAAATCCGAGGTATATAGTTATATGCACATGGATTCGAACCACGTGAGCTACACTTTTATTATTTTCAAAACTATCGTATCTTTTATCTCAATTTCTACAAAAAATTGAGGGGTTAATAATTTTTTTATTTTAAATTTGTTATATTATTTACCCAGAATATTACATTTCTTACCCAGATAATAAAGATAAAAGTCAAACTCTCTAGGATGGTTCAAGATAAAAATCAAATTCCCTAGAATGGACAAGATAAAATACAAACTCCCTCAAGATGTAGATTTAGATCTTCGTATTATTGAATCTTGGGGAACATCTTCTGTTAGATCTTATATGCAATTGTTCCTGATGAAAAAAAGGTAAGATAATTAATATTTAAGAAATCAAAAGTCAAGAATCAAATAATTAACAAATATTTAAGAAAAATAAACCTTGAACCCAGATGATTTTTTGCTCTTGCACTCCATCGTAGAGAACTCTTCCAAACGTCCTTAGATTTCAAGCGCTTCATACGTTTCATTTAGGTTAGACTTACAATATCGTAAGAGAACTTATATAGTGAATGTCCCTCAGGTTTCACGTGAAAAACTAAAGGAAGATTCTTGAGCGTTGATAACCTGTAAATGGACGACATAGATTTGTTTAAGGCCGTTAAAAATAATGAAAAATAACACTTAACTATCATCTCAGTTTTGGAATAATGTATTGGCTAGATAAACTAAAATAATATCGTATTTGAAGACAAACTCATCCAAAGGTGTTTCTATGTCTTCTTCTTCTGTAAAATCACGATCTGGATCATTATGTGGGTGTGATGGGCGTATAGTTTTGTACCAATGCAAGAAGGGACAAAATAAATGAAGGTTTTTTTGAAAATGTCCATTTTGAAGGAGTGAAGAGACATATAATTTGTTCATATGGGATGAAGACATGATGGCAAAAGGTGGAAATTGTTCTGGACTGGGCCTGCCCGTGACCCAATCACCAGTGAGGCCCAATCCAAGCTTTACATCGTATCATGCTGAGCATTATATCCTCCGAGCACACCCTGATCATGAGGACTGGTCGAATGCAACTACGCCCCGCCAGTGCCCGCGAGGAACGTCCCCGACGAGGGACGTCCCAGACGAGGAACATCCCAATCCAAGTCCTGCTCGAGTACCCTTCTCGTAAGGCAGACTTTCAACCTCTCCGGATTTCGCGGAGTCCTCAGGGTCCCGGGGAGATCGCGTCTTTACCCTCCCTATTCTGCGGAGAGCATCATCCAGGTAGTGGACCACGTGTAGGTCCCCACTACTCACGTAGAATCTGGAAGTCCCTTTGTTAGGCCTGTTTGATCAGCCCAATAAAGGAACCTTGGCCCAGCGCTGGGGCTATAAATACCCTCCATTTCAAGAGGATCAGGTATTCATTTATTCACAACTATACAATTACTTGCTTGCTCATTCCGTCTCTCACTTTGTCATCGGAGTATCTTGCAGGTACCCCCCCCCCCCCCATCTCCTTCAAATCCAATTCAAAGCCAGCTGTGACGGTCTAACTCTCATCAGGTACGATCAAAAATGAAGATGGGAGCATTATGAAGTCAGAGTTAGAAGCTATGGGCTATTTGAAGGCCGTGTATTAAGATTCAAAGAAAAGAACAAGAATCTAAAGAACAAATTGCAATCACAAAAATTTTATGGTAATTTGAAGATGTTATGCTTTGTTATCTCCTTTATGTTTAATGTTTACTTTGTTATGAAATGTAATTGATGAAGTAGGGTTGAATTGCATTGTTAATGTTATGTGAAAATTGTAGATGCAATGAAATCTATGTATTGACATTGTTTGTTAATGAAATATTGGTTTCGGAATTAAATATCCTCTCAGTTTTAGAAAAAACTGAGGTTAGATTAACTAACCTCTCGGTTTTGGAATAAAACTGAGGGGTTAGATTAATTTTTTTTTAATGTTTACATTGTTTACCCAGAATATTAAAAATACAGCATGTCCAGGTCCAACACAAGATGCTAGAGATCCACGATTAGTTGTTGTGCTATCATTATCATTGCATCCAAGATTGATTGTTGCGCTATCATTATCGCTGCCTTCACTAGCGTAGACAATGTGTTTGAATGCTTCCAACTTTTAATAAGGTATCTGTTGTAAAGATTGGAAACTATTTTTCTACACTTGCAATCCATCAGTAACGACGAATATATCATAGTTGTTAAAAACCTTCAACAACAACAACATGAACACCATTGTTTGAGATGGATTACAAAAGTGAAAAAATGGTGGGGCGACTACAAATAAGATAACATTAGAGTTAAATATGTTCAACAAATGTTTTTATAGTGAAAATCAGATTATTTATCCCTCGGAGATTCGTTTGAGATGCTTCTTTATGTTTACATTCTAAACCTCATATTTTTCAAATACTTCTTATATGACTCTTATGTTGGGCCAAACCTTTTTTAAAATCGAAGCTCAATCGATTATGAAGTTTAGTTAATAGATTATAACATAAATTTTTTCCCTTTAATCGATTATGACATTTGTCTAATAGATTACGGGATGGACTCGTCCAATAATCAATAAAGTTTTTCTAATTGATTAAGGTTCATATCCTGCAAAATCTTTCCTATTTTTCTAGGTCATAATTGATGATGATCTGAATCCAGACAAAAAATGTTTCTTTTCTTGGTCAAATCTTTTAATATATATGAGTAATGATATTCCTATACTCAATTTCTACAGCAATATTTACACCCAACACTATTCACCGTATTTATATGGTGAATAGTATTTTTTTTTTAAAAATAAAAATATATATTTACGAACAGTAACATGTACAGTAAAATATAATAATAATAATAATAATAATAATAAATAATTTTTTTAAAATATAATTTTTTTAATTTGTTCAAATTCAGAGATACCGATATAAAATTGTATAATTAACCGACTTCATAACTTTATTAACCAACATTTTAGATTTCATTACTGAACTTTGTTTTACTACTAAAAGTTATTTTTAATAGGGTTAAATATGTTGCTGGTCCCTATAAATTATTAAATTTTATTTTTGGTCTCTATAAAAAAATGACATATTTTAGTCCCTACAAAATTATTAATGACATAATTTTAGTGTTTACTGTTAAACTGATTTGTATTTTTGAATGATTATTTTGCAGTAAAATATTAAAAAAAGTTCCTCGAAAAAAAAATAACTCAAAATTTAATTTCTAAATTGAGATTTTCATTACTTTCATCAATATCTTTTAAAATTTAAAAAAATTCATATTTAATTCATCTCATTTTAAAAAATTCTAAAATTTAATAAAGAAACATTTTACATTCTAAATACTTATGAAAAAAATTATTCAAAAATTTAAAAGTTTAAAGGTAATTCTACAATTTTCAAAATTTTAGAAAATAACAAGATTAAAATTGTATGAATAAAATTTTTGTAAGAACCAAAATATATCATTTTTTTAATAGGGACTAAAAATAAAACTTGAGATATTTATAGAGAATAAAAACATTTTTAACCTTTTTTAATATCTGAGCGTTTGTTAACCAATTTCATAACTTTATTAACCAATATTTTACACTTTATTAACCAACTTTGTTTTACTAAAAATTATTTTTAATATCTGAGCGTTTATTAACCAACTTTATTTTATCAATTTATTTTTTATTTTTCATTAATCAATTTTGTTTTATTATTAAATAATTTTTAACACTTGAACGTTTAATAACCATCTGATTACTTTATTAATTAATTTTTTATTATTCACGCTCATGTCACTGTTCATAAACATATTTTTTTTATTTAAAAAAACAGAATTTATCGTATAAATACAGTTAATAGTGTTGAATATAAGTATTGATGTAAATTTTGGATGTAGGAATAGTATCAATATATATTGATGACTTGTGCTAACTTCAAAACGCATAGAAAACATGAATGTCCATTTAAAATTATTTTAGCGCGGAGAGAGAAACGGTTACTAGAAGTTGTTCTTTTAATTGCTGATTAATTTGTTTTAGCAACAATTGTATATAAAGAGAGTTATTAGTGTAAGAAAATTGTGGGCTAATTCCGTAATAAAAATTCTTACTTTACATGCAAATGAAAACCTTGGTCGGTACAGAAAAATTAACATGGTATAAAAATTATACTTGTGTTATTTTTCATGCAAATGAAAACTTTTATAAAAATCAAAGTCATCCCCTTTCAGAAAATGTGGAATCCTGTGGATTCTGTTAGTGGAGTGAGTTGTTGCATTAATCAACAAAGACTATTTTCACTTCATTGAATGTGATTATTATATTACATAGCATTATCAATTGTGTTATTCTTTTCCAAATGTATTAATAAAATCTCACAAGACTTTAGAGTCTTTTTGACTCTTTCATTTTGTTGCAGTTGCACTACCTGAGGTTTCGCAGTACTGTTCTTGCTCAGGCTGGCATAACTGAAGTTGAAATAATGTTTGTGGATACTCTCCTCCGCCGCTGCCATATGGAAACTGAGCAAATGCATTTTTGCTTGGTGCGAGTGTGGCCGAATCTGTTGTGCCATAAACCTACAGGTCATTCCATTAACCTCATTGTTAGCCAATATGTGTTTTCAAATTTAAATTGTCACACTTATTTGCCTAAAGTCAGTGTCATTCAGTGTTGTCAAATAGAGACTATAGCACAGCGGAACTTTAACAAACCTCTATTGTTCCGCAGTGTAGTTGTGTGTTTTCTTGTTGAATGAGGTTTACCTTCGTATAAAGTTCCACATTTTCTTGATGGATTAGGTTTCCCTTTTGGTTCAGCTCATGGATTTCGTCTGTCAGAATTTTCTCCTTTCTCATTCGGATTTCTTGGAGACTAAGTTCCAGTTGTCTCTCAAGATCTTGTAGGTTTCTGATGCTCAAACCGTAAAGTTGTCCTCCCATCAATTGCCTGTGATTGCAAAATGTTAGTGCTTTCACTCATGGTGCTTAATGAGGTATGTGAATTCATTCTCTTCAATCTGTCGCCACTTTACCGATGGTTTTCTTGTAGAGTCTGTAGTTGCTGCCTTAAAATTTCAGACTCCCTTTGCCAAAACTATAGATTATTCAAGTAAAATAATGTAAATGAGTAACAAAATGTGATTTTATTATTTATGGCAGAGAAAATTATGGGACATGACTAAAGTGTGTTTAATAAACCATACCTTGACTTCAGATTCTGGATTTGTCACTTGGTCTTCCTTGAAACTGTTATACCTTTCAATCACCGATTTCATGCTGGCCACAAGAAAGAATAATCACATTTTTAATACTTCTTAAGGATTAGAAATCCTTAATCTACCCGGGGCATTGCAATTACCAAACATAACTAAACTCTAGATATTCTTCTTAAGACTACTATGCCTAGACAATGTCAAAATCAGTATATTCTTTGATGTTGTTTGGGAAGGATCACTATTAGACCTTGATAATGTATTTTGATTGGAGCCAATATGATTTCTTGGGGGAGCTAGAAGGAGAACATTTTTTTTCTTCAGAACATTCTGGAGATGGTGATGTTTATTTTAAACAAAAAAAAATGTGAGAAAAAGTAAATTAAAAGAGATGGAGAGAAAGATATCTCAACTAAAAGTTAAAAGATATAAATCAGGACAAATATTTTCTGTCTTTTAGGAGGGAAATATAGAATGTCTTTAGTCAAATTCTGAATAACATAAAGAAGATGATGATGTTTATTTTGAAGAAGAAAAAAAAAACAGTGAAAAATTAAATCAAAAGAGAGAGAAAAGCAAATAAATGAAAATTAGATGGTACAAATCACTAGTTTGGGACAAGAATCCTCCACCTTTTAGGAGAGAAAGATAAAATGATTTTAGCTCAATTTTGGATAACATAAAGAGGGTGGTGATGTTTATTTTGAAGGGAAAAATGTGATAAAAGTAAATTAAGAGATACAAAGAAAAGAGAAAGGTAGAGAAAAAGAAATTTAGAGGATCAAAATTTTAGTTTGAGAGAGAAATGTAGAGTGATTTTAGTCAAAATTTAGATAATATAGCCATGATGTCTATTTGGAGGAAAAATGGTAAGAGAGTAAATCAAGAGAGATATAGAGAAATGAAAATTAGAGGATGTAAATTTTTAATTTAAGATAAACATTCTTTAAGAAATGTAAAGTAACTTTAAACAAATTTTAGATGATATAAGAGAGATAATGGTTTTGTTTATTTTGAAGTAAAATAATATGAAAAATATTTAACACATTAATATGTTTATAGTTGCTATTAAGAATATGAATTGGGGAGATAATTACTAAAATTGTTTCATGTAATTATTATTGATTACTTAATTCTATTCTATGATTATAAATAAGAGTTCTGTGTGGTCGTACAACACATCATTCACACATATCATTCTTACCAAATATAACACCTTCAAAAAATTCTCAAGTTAGTTAGTTAGTGTTGGAGAGTTTCAGAAAGTCGGAAGCAACAAATAGGTCAAACATTTTTTTTATTTGATTAATAGTTTAGAGAAAATGATCGAAATTTTCTTTGAAGAGCTTGGGAGTGTGAAAATATTGATGCATTCAAAATAAACACTACTATAAAATGTGCAAATAATAACGCTATGTTTACGACACATTCATATACATCTTAGTAATAGGTTAAAAATTTTGTGTCTAGTGAGTTGCTGAATTTATTAATGACGGTTGATTTTAAACACCGTAGTAAGAAATTATGTGTAGTAGTTTCGATTCCCAACAGCCACGTTTTTTCCATTTTTTAGAGTATATTAAGCATGTGTCACCTATTTCTATTATTTAAAAAATAAATTGTAAATGATTTAACAACGGTGAATACCTCAACCGATGTTATAGGACTTAAGTTTCCACTACGGTTGTTTTGTCCAACCGCAATTAAAGGGTTTATTGATAAATTAAAACAAAACTTATTTCATATTTCTTTCATAAGACACCCTAGGTGAACAAGCGAGTCAAAGACGACATCGGTGGCTCAAATCTTTGTATCCATTCATTTGGAGCTCAAATCTTCATCCTCTTCATTCATTTGATTCTTCAGTTTCGCAGTATGGTATTCTTCAACATCTTCATTGTTTTTTCTTGGTTTATGTTGTATATGCTCAAATCTTCATCCTATTCGTTCATTTGATTCTTCAGCTTCGCAGTACTGTACTATTCAACATCTTCATTCATTTTTCTTTGTTTATGTTGTATAATGCTCAAATCTTCACCCTGTTCGTTCATTTGATTCTTCAGCTTTGCAGTACGGTACTCTTCAATATCTTCATTCTTTTTTCTTTGTTTATGTTGTATATATGCTCAAGTCAGTATGAGAGTACATTTTTCATATGCTTTAGGATTAGATTTTCACATTATTATATGTGTATGTGTATAAATTTCAAAAGTTGTTATGGATCGTAGTTGGATGAAAGTCAATAGATTAGGTCCGATTTATGAGAAAGGAGTTCTTGAATGCACTGATAAATATATTCGCGACAATGATGGTATATTTTATTATCCTTGTGTTATTTGCACGAATATCGGTAAGGATACAAAGGAAGAAATATTCCGGTACCTTTATTGTGATGGTATATGTCAAAATTATATAATATGGACGTGACATGGTGATGTGGTTAAAGAGGAAAGTCGGGATATTTATAGAGGAATCTTCTTTTAAGGATATTCATATTTATGATACTTTATATAGTCATAAAGATGCCCCTTTATATAAGGGATGCACAAATTTTACACGATTGTCGGCGATATTAAAGTTGTTTAATCTTAAGACAAAAAATGGATGGTCGGATAAAAGTTTCACATAATTACTTGAATTGCTAAAGCAAATGTTATCAGAAGATAAAAAATTGTCGGATCGTTGCTATAAGACCAAGAAGATATTGTGTCCAATGGGTCTGAAGTATATCAAAATACATGCTTGCCATAATAATTGCATATTATACAGAAAAGAGTATGATCATAGTGCATCCGAGATACTTACATGGTTATCGTACGATATTGGTCAATATACCTTTTATACAAAATCAAAAGATGATCGTAGTATAATGCAAAATAGTGGGGTTATGGTTGAAGCTGAATCGATGTATTTCTCTAGTTCGAAAGATAAGAATTATGTATTGGCAACTACCGCGTTTTATAGTTTCATTGATGAGATTTGAGAGATTGATTATGTTATTTTTAAAGTGGCTTTATTTAAATGCAAGTGGGTTCCCGATAATAGTAATGATGTACACATTGATAACTTAGGATTCACCCGGGTCGACCTTCACAAGGTATATTTTATGACTGAACCATTCATCATGGCTTCTCAAGCAAAACAAATTTTCTATGTTGCCGATCCATCGAACATATCAGGGAAATGGTCAATCATTCTCCAAGAAAAACACATTCCTTTTATTGATGAAAGTCTTGATATTCCATCCACACCTTCTTACACAACACAAGTTCCTACCTCATATGATGAAGTTGATGGAGATGTTGTCCATGCTATTCGAATCGATCATGAAGAAGGCATTTGGGAAAATTAACAGGTACTTAATTTATTCTTTATTCATAATATATTCATGTATGTTATAGTTTCCAAGTATTTTTACTAGCAAATATAATTATTTGAAATTATAGGTCATTAGAGTCAAGACACCAAGAGACAAGACACTAAAATAGCAAGTTACAATTATGTGATGTTATGTAATGTGTAAACTATAGATTGTTTGTTATGATAATTTGTAGGATATTTGTTATGATAATTTGTAGGATATTTGTTATGGTACAATTGAATATGATACAATTATGTGATATTATGAATATGATACAATTCATATTATTCAGATAACTTTATCATAAATGTGAATTTTATTTTCTGCTGTGATATGGTGAATAATAATACAGGTTAAAAAATGGGATGAATTATAAAAACAGGATAATATCCGTTAATTATGCAAAATATTTAACAATGGTTATAGTCATAACCATTATAATATCTCGTGCCTTACTAGAAAAAATAAATATCAAAAAAACGCATCTGGAAATCAAACCCAGGACCATTAGATTTATCACAACTGTCGTTTGAAAAACTGTTGCGATAAGGAGCGTGCTTTCCAGTTTATTACAACAACTATCGTGTCGTGATTGTAAGTATCATATATTCAACGAAACTCTACATAACAAAGTATGAGCCTGCATTGTTATATATCTTTCCCAAACATTATTAATTGGGTTTTCCATAGTACTGCAAATGTGTATAAGGGGGTGGTAAAGAAAAAAATTTAGATACAATTTCATACATATGTATGGTTCTTACTATTTTCTAATGAAAATATGATAAATGTATAATTTCTTTTTACACATATGTAATTTTCTCTTATTTTCACTATTTAAAAGATATTTAAACACACTTGTCATATTTTCATTGAAATAAATAGTAAGAACCACACCTATCAAATTGTAGATAAGTTTTCTCCATTTTCAAAATGGTTTGGAGAAATTAAAAGAAATCCAACAACAAGAAGATAATCAGGTGGAAGTTGAGTCTCATCAATCCTTTTTTATGTTTGAACTGTGACATTTTGCCCTTAAAAATGTCATTACAAAAGTTAAAGTGTTTTTGATAGTGGTGTCGAAATATGTGTCATAGCTAAGTTGTTTTTTTATATTTCTTTTTTTGCAAGTGAGGATGTGGTTTTGATAAAGGAAAACATAGAGATACGAAAAGATGAATTCTTAGAGATTTCTAATTCTAAGAATTGGAAGATTTTTAAAGGTTGTTTAGGTTTGGGAAACACTTTCAAACAACATGAGATTTAGTGATTCATGTATTGAGTATATGAGAAATTTGGTAATAAATGGATATAAATTAGGAAATGATATTATGAACTACTCCCTCTGGTCTCATTTATAAGAAAAAGTTAATTTTTTAGATACATTAAATAAGTAATGTATTTGGATAATATATTGTCCAAATACATTACTTATTCAATGTATATAAAAAGTTAATTTTTTCTTATAAATGAGACCGGAGGGAGTATTGTTGAGTTAATTTTTTGTAACATTTTTGTAATCTCTCGTTAAGATTATTAATTGGTAGTTGATCAGAGATCTCTTATCTCCAACAAAGTATATCAATTTAGATTGAATTTGGTAAATAATTTATGTGTGTTAATTCTCTACTTTTATCTTAATCGTATAAGCGTGTGATTTTTGTACACGTAATTAGTAGATTGATTATTATCTGAGACTATT